TTTTTTTTTTTTTTTTTTTTTTGTCTTTTTCGTGACCGGTAAGGGGATCGCAACCCTTGTTGTGGTGTCACCCACACCGTGCTCAGCCAGCGAGCGCACTGGCCAGTCCCATATAGGATCCGAACCCACGGTGGGAGCGTCGCTGCGCTCCCAGCCCCTCACTCTCCCGAGTGCGCCACGGGGCCGCCCCAGAGTCAACACTTTTTACTCCTTTACTTTTCTATATTGCTTTAATTTTCATGATAAGCATGTATCATTTTACATATGTAAAAATTTCAAACTACAAAAGAAAATTACATAATTATAATGAAAAGAGAGTAAAGCAATTTTCATTCAAGCATTTTTTAAAAGTTTCCAGGACCCCTCTACATCGTGTTCTCTGGCCATGAGCCCTGCCCCTTCCACCTCTGCCCCCGCCCTTGCTTCTGGAGCTCCATCCTAGGAGTTCTCATTTACTTTTTCATGTTTTTTTTCTCAGCATTACTGATGGAGTGATCAAAAGTGTATTATGGCAAACACTGCAAGCGCTTAATTTCTGTCATAAACATAACGTAAGTAACATATTTTAATGTATTTATTAATTTCTTCCTGATGACTCTTTTCTTCCAAATAGGCCAGGGGTCTATTTAAAATAAAGCTAAAGATGGAGGAAAGTAAGAACCGGAGGAGCAAAACAAAAGAAAGTTTCAGAATATGGGGAAAAGAGATGCATTATTCATGGCCCTTTTCCAGTTTCTGTAAGAATCATATTACTAATTCCTCATGAACTAAAAGTTTGTGTAAACAATGTTTCCATTTATAGTACTAGTGATTTCTACAATTATTTTTAAATTGGGTTAAAATAATTTTTCAGGATATCAGTAATGTGATTCACAGCAGCACGTTGTTTTGTTTTGCTCTTAAGTCTCTTAAGTCTTTTATTCTGTGACAGTGCCCCCTTCCCCCCCCTTTTTTTTTTTTTTTTAATTTCCCATGCCGTTGACTTTTTAGAGTCCTAGTTCTCAAACTTGAGCATGCATCACACTAGGCCCCAGCCTCAGAATTTCTGATTTAATAGGTCTGGGGTAGGGCCTGAGAATTTGCATTTCTGACATTTTCCCAGATGATACTGAAGCTGCTGGTCCAAGAACCACACTTTGAATACTACTGTGTCATAGAAATAATTATGGCGGATTGATTCCTGCGTGTAATTTAACTTATTCTTTCACCTGCATTTCCTGTAACTTGGTCTTTATGTCTAGAGGCTTGATCGTATTCTGGTTCAGTTTTTTAAGGCAGTCTTTCCTGTATGGTGCTGTACGCTTCTGACTGCATCACTGGTAACCCCACTTTTGATCAGGCTAAAATTGATTAGTGGGCTCAGAAGGAATAAGTTTGATCTCCTCCATCATCAATTTCCCCATCAACCTTCTTAGCCAAGAGTTTTAGCATCCAGTGAGAATTTTTGCCTGCATCCAGTACCTCAATAAGGTAAAAGATGGTAATTTTCTAATTCCATTATTTCCTCTGCATTTATTAATTGGACTTATGTGGAAAAGAACTTACCCTCATGGGCTCTGGCTACTGTAAAATAAGTAAGATAAGTATGCGATGATTTCCTTTATTTGTCAATACTCAGAGTGATAAGTTGGTATCTTAGCAACCTCCAAAAGTAAACCATGATAGAGGCATTTTGGGGGGTGGGGCAACATTATAAACATGGATTTTATATATTGGATGTTTTCAGTCCTTTGCAGTCGTTATTCTCTCTGATGCTCAAATTGTCCCATCTTAGGCCAGTGGGAGTTTCTTCAAGTTAGGTCCTGGGTACTTTTGATAATGATAGCTTTTTGAAAATATCTGTAGACATTTTGAGTCGGTGACTAGACAGAGAGAAGGCTGAGAGGATGCTAGAGACTACCATCTGGTCAGTTTTGATGCTAGCAGAACGTCTACCAACTTCATCTAGGACCGCTGAAAAAGAAAGTACAAGGTGATGGAACTAATAGTTAGGGGAAGCTTTCTCTCTTTAGTCTTAAGAAAGCCAGAGAAGTTTTTATTAGAATAAGTCAAAAGCTTTTATTTTCCACTAATATAGAGTGATATTGCTCACAAAATACAGAAACCTGTTTTTCACAACTTCTGAAAGCAAAATGTGCTTTCAAACACTTAGTAAGATGATGTTAAATTGAATCCATGTCTCTGTTGCTTTCCACCATGCTATGGGAGGTATCAAAGTTCACATGGGGTAGTTAGAATGGTTTTTAAATTTTATTGTATACCATAAGTGTTGGTACTTTATCCCTATATAACCAGATACTTTCCTGTGTACTAGATTATAAGCTTGGATGCAATGTCTATGGCTGATTTGTCTTTGTATCTCTTCAATGCCTAGCATAGATCTTTTCATGTGAGTTGCTCAATAAATGTTTCCTGAATACCTGGACAGGTGGATGGATAAATGGATGAATGAGTAAATGAATCAGTCAACCTACCTGCCTACCTGATTGTGACTCACTATTTCCAGTGGACACTGATATCATTGTAGCTCAGTGCAACTTCCATCATTTCTCTGCTTGGAACAATGTGTTCTATATCTTAAGCTTTAAAATACTGAAAACTTAACCACTGGTAATCTATGACCTCTATTATAATGGATAATTTTTCAGACAAACTTCCGTCCTCCAAGATGGAAATTACTTTTGAATTCTGGTTATCTCATTTTCTTATGCTATGGTAAGCCTTTGTGTATCTACTTTTTATTTTAGCTATTAGCTAAAATGCATGCAAAGGAAAAAAATCTAAGTCATATAAAAACTGGTACAGACATACATCTAAAACCTTTGTACTCTCCTTATTTTCAAAGGAACATTCATGATACTCTCAAAGACTAGAAAAGGCAATCTGACCCAATGGTGTTGCTGAAGACACAGCTTCCAACCTGTGGAGACCATGTGCACCTTATCTCCAGAATCATGATCCTAAGCAAGACAATGAAGGTTACAGTAGTAAGGGGTTAATTAGTGTGCACCTTATTATCTCCAGAATCATGATCCTAAGCAAGACAATGAAGGTTACAGTAGTAAGGGGTTAATTAAGGCCTTGCTACTCAAAATGTGGTTCATAGAGATCATGCAGGAGCTTGTTAGAAATGCAGAAACTCAGGCTCACTCCAGGTCTGATGAATGAGAATCTGCATTTTAACAAGATCTCCAGGTGACTGATGTGCACATTAAATTTTGAGAAGCACTGGATGTAAGAAAATATCTACACATTTTGTTCTGTTTTACCATACAATATCGCTAGAGTTAGCTAACTAAAGTGATCCATTTGATGTATTGATTAGAGAAAAAGAACTTCCTCTCAAAATGGCAAAACTATGGTGATTTCTGAGATAGGAGCGTGTCAGGCTGCAGCGTCCTTCAGCATCTTGATGATATTAATGTTCTGGTTGTCAAGGTTGGGTCTCTTTTTTTTTTTTGGTCTTTTTTGTCTTTTTTCCGTGTCCGGCAACGGATCGCAACCCTCAGTGTTGCCCCTGTACCGGACCGGGGACCGGCAACAGGATCGCAACCCTCGGCATTGCTCCCGCGCGTCGCTCAGCCAGTGAGCGGGAACCAGTGGGTCTCTTTTCTCTCATGGTTGTACAGGTACACATTCCTAATTCTCAAAGAGAACAAACTTCTAAGATAATAGAAAATTATTTATTGTTTAATTGGGCCATATAAAAAGCAATTTCTGGTGGAAGTTTCCAGAGATGATTCTTAAAAGGCAGGTTTGAAATAACATGGATACCTTTCTCGCTGGCTTGTCCTCGGCATTGCTCCCGCGCCTTGCTCAGCCAGTTAGCGGGAACCAGTGGGTCTCTTTTCTCTCATGGTTGTACAGGTACACATTCCTAATTCTCAAAGAGAACAAACTTCTAAGATAATAGAAAATTATTTATTGTTTAATTGGGCCATATAAAAAGCAATTTCTGGTGGAAGTTTCCAGAGATGATTCTTAAAAGGCAGGTTTGAAATAACATGGATACCTTTCTCGCTGGCTTGTGAGCCAATAAAAATGAGATTGTACATCAGCCACAATAACCCCACCTGAGCAATGTTTGCTAAAAGTGGTGTATGAAACCCCAGTTTATTAAAATTCTTCTGTTACAGAGGCTTGCATGTGTCTTGTTCTTTGATGGAAAATAAGCTGATTGTGAGAGGCTTGCAGAGACTTTGCACTGAGTGTGGCTTTGCAGCAGAGAAAATAAACGCTTGTTTGTCGAAGTGTTTCCGTCCTCCAGGCTGTTTTAAGGTTCCAGTTATTCTTACTCCCTTTTTTGTTTCTTCAAAAATCCTTTTCCTCTTTATCAGTAGCTTCTCTTACATAAACCTATGCCAATAAATTTTTCTGTTTCTTTGGGACATATCAATATTTCAATTGCCTTTATATTTTCTGGTTGAAAAGTAAGTGCTGTAAATTTCACATTTGCATTAGATCCAAAAAAATATTTAAATAGGCCAATAGACAATGTAAGTCCATTTACTTTGTAATGCCACACATAGTCTGGAAATTTTAGAATTTGATGCAAACTCATTTGAGGGAACATAGTCTGGAAATTTTAGAATTTGATGCAAACTTATTCGAGGGAACATAGTCTGGAAATTTTAGAATTTGATGCAAACTCATTTGAGGGACATAATCTGTTCTAATTAAATCACCAACGATTATAAGTGAGTACTACTAATTCAGAGTGCAAGTTTCATACATGTATTGCTTAAAAGGTAAGAAATCAAACTATGTTAGTTTATATTCCAACACTATATTTTTAAATTGGTATCAAAGGCCTGAGGACTTTTGAGAGGCCTAAAAAATTTCTTCTAAATGCTGGTCATACAAATTATGAAACCCTGACTGTAATTGAAATCAAATATGAACAAGCTTCTGTTACTCGTGCCATTTTTGTGGTCTAAAATGAATTTAGGGTTCAACTTTTTCTCTTCCTAGACGGCTATTATAGAGGCAAAGAAATTTATTTGAGGAATCAATTGACAGGAATACTTAAGGGGACCAACAGCACAGCAGAGAGTCAGGCAAAAGGAGTTGATTATTGTGACACTCAATCACTGACACTCTGTCACTGGCCACCTGCAATCACAGGATTGTTGCGAGAATGAAAGAATTTATGTGTAAGTGCTTTGAAAAGTACAGAGCTCTACGTGAGGGCTGAGTTGTAGCTCAGTATTGTTTTTATCCATTTTCTTTTGGGGGGAGGGGTCGTTAAGCTGGAAGGATGAAGTTCGGAGGAGCAGGGCCTGAGTGGTTTTCTCGTGGCTCCTCCATTACCTGGAAAACCATTTCTGGAATTGCGTGAACTTGCCCAGCCTGCCTTCCCCCGTGCCCCCAGCATAGCCCTCTCCTGTCTGGCAAGAAGCGGCTGCTTCCTTCCGGGTCATTAGAATGATGCAGCACATCATAAGGTCGCTACATATAAAATAATAATGGGGCTTCTTCAAGGTGACAGTGCATCATGTGGGGTCCTGCTCTCCCAGGTGGGGCTCCGAGAGCATCTTGTGGACGTCAGAGGGTTGTTAATCACTCCAGGTTAGCTCAGTGTTGAGGAAATCCAAGTGATACTCATCCCTTATGCTGAATGCTTTGGAATCTCTGATAGGTAGGTGACTCTACATCCCTGCTTGCCCAGGACAGTTCTGGTTGGCACCTGCTGTCCTGGCATCATTGTGTATAGGGCGCCCTTGCACACTTGAAAGTATCCTGTTTTGGATGGTAAATAATATGGCCACTCTAATTATAAGTGTTTGTTTTTTATCATTTAAATGTTTTTCCATTTCTCAAATCTGCAATAGTTATTCAATCTGAATTGTAATTCTTGAATGGCAGCAATTTTATAATTTCTTCAATAACTAGCAACATTTTTTTTTTTTCTTTTGGCATGACAAGATTTACAAGTGAAAAAACGTCAATTTAAATTCTTTTAGAAAAGTGATGAAAACCCATATTTGGGTTTTTAAATTTTACTTATTTGTTTATTTTAATTGATACATTGTAATTGTACATATTTATAGGTACAATTGGTGTTTTGATAAATTTATGTTGTATAATGATTGAGTTAGGGTGGTTGGTGTATCCATCACCTCAGGCTTGTATCATTTCTTTGTGGTGAAAACATTGAAAAGCCTCTCCTCTGGCTACTATGCACCATACAAAACCTAACTGTGAACCAGTCACCTGACTGTGAACTCGTTTGTTTTTATCTCACAGGCTATGTTTATCCATCATTTAAACTAGTAGTTAACGTTTATTTTTTGTCATTTTGATGGCTCAGAAAAATAATCAAATATTATCTTACAGTGTATTCACAGAGATGTAAAACCTGAAAATATTCTAATAACTAAACAAGGAATAATCAAGATCTGTGACTTTGGGTTTGCACGAATTCTGAGTAAGTAGCAGTTTTTTACTAACTTTATCCAATTCAGATTATGATAAACTGAGATAGGTTAAATTCTTGCTTTAGATATTGAATGTATACTAAATGTTGTATTGTTGTTATTCGTAAAGCCTTTAGCCTTTTAGTCAGTACATTAGTTTGCACTTCAACTGTTCTCCATT